ATATATTTTTAATTAAGTTTTTATAGCTGCTTATATTAGTTATATAAAGGTTAATTTTAATAATTATTTTTAAAAGGCTATTAAACCTTTTAATATATTTAAAGCTAGTTTAAATAATATATTTAAAAAAGGTAAATATTATTAAAGCGTTTTAAATAGTTATAATATTTTTATTTATAAAGGGTTTAAATTTAAAATTATAAAAATTTATTTAAATAAGTAAAGATTATTACGCTTTTATAATAGGTATTTATTTAAATAGTTATAATATAAGCTATAATAAATTGCTATTATTAAAGTTATTTTATTAATAGCTATTTTTTAGTATTAATAGTATTAAAAGTATTAAAGTTAAAGTATTAATTATTTAGGTGGCCTAATAAGCTTTAATTTAAATTTATTATTATTATAAGTAAAAATTATTAATAGTATTTTAAAAGGGAGTTAAATTGCTTATATTAATTTTAACCTTTTTTAGGTATTAAATTATATATATATATATAAATATTTATATAATAGCTATTTATTAATAAAATAAAGAATAAATAAGTTTGTTTAAAATAAATTTTATATTAGTTAATTTATTTAATAGTTTTATATAAGTAAAATAAAATTAGCATTTTAATTAAGTTTATAATTTTAATATTTTATATTTATAAAATATATTATAAACTCTTTATTATTTAAATATTATTATTTTTAAATTTTTTAGTAAAAGGTTTTACTTTTAATTATTTTATATTAAAATAAATAAAAAATTTTTTTTTTTAAGGTTTATTAAATTTTTATTAAAAGTACTTTAAAGTTTTTAATATTTTAGGTGTTTTTTATATTAATAAATTATTTTTTTATATTAAAATAATAATTGCTATTTTTAATTGGTAATTACTTTTAGGTTTTTAAGAAGCTTATTTTAATTTTTGGCATATATAAATAAAGCTATATATATAATTAGGTTGTAAAAGCAGGCTTTTTATTAATAGTTATTAAAAGATTTATAATTAGAAATTTATTTTTAATAGTTAAAATATTTGGTAAATATAATTATTAAGTATAAATATATATATAAATTAGATTTTCTTTTTATATAAAAGGTTTTTTTATAGTTATTTATTAATAAATTAAAGTGTAAATGGGCTAGTTAAGTGCCTAATTATAGGCCTAAGGAAGTGCTTATATAAAATAAAGGGAGATAATAAAAATCTTTTAATTTAGATGTATTTAAAAAAGAAATAAAGAAGGATTAAATTCTTTTAACTATTTAAAAGAGGGGTAGGTAAATATTTTTTATATAGGGTATTTATAGGTATAGAGGCCCTTATTAACTTAATATTTTTATAAATTTTAAAAAGATTAAAACTATTTATAATTAATAAATATTTATAATATTAAAAGTATAAAATTCTTTTTAATTTTTATAATTTTTATTAAAAGTTTATTCTTATATATAATAGAATTATTAAACCTTTAATATAACATATATAAAAATAAAGGGTTTTAATAAACCTTAAAATACTAAATTTTTTAATTATTTTAAAAATATATAATTAATACTTTAATACTATTATATTTTATATTTAAACTTTTATATATTTAAAAATAAATATATTTAATAGTATTATAGTTAGTATTTTTAATAATATAATAATAATAAATAATATTTAATTAAATATTTTTATAAAATAATATTAAATATATAAATAAACTATTTAATTTATAATAAAAGCTTTTAATTATAATATATTCCTTAAAATTTTAAAAATTAAAATTAATTAGTTTTTAGTTTACTTTATTTAAAATTATTACTAACTACTATATTTTAAAGTTTTATAATATAAAATAGTTATTAAACTTTTAGTAGGTTAAATAAGTAAGTCTTTTAATTTATTTTAATTTTAAACTATTATATTATTTAAATACTTAAAATATATTAGTTAATATATTATTTTAATATTTTAAAAGCTTAAAATTTAAAAAGAATAATTAAATATTTATTAAACTATTTAAATTTTTTATAAGTTAATAAAAATATTAAATTAAAGGTATTTAATATTTTACCTTTTAAATTAATAATTAATTAGATTTTATTTTATTTAATATTAAAAATATATTTAAACTTAAAGTTAATATTTATAAATATAAAGAACCCTATTAATAATAATATAGTTTAGAATAACTTTAACTACTTATTAGTAGTTATACCTCTATTTTCCTTAAATAATTTAAATCTAAGTTATTAAATACTTTACTATATATTAACTATAATTATTTAACTTTTAAATATTATTATAATTTAATAAAATAAAATATAAATAGCTAAAAGTTTATTAATAATTAATATATTATTTTTATAATAAATTAATAATCCTAAACTATAATAAACTTTATATTAAAGTTATTAATAATATTTATTTTTATATTATAATTATATATTTAAAATAAAATAAAACTATTAAATTAATATAATATAAATATTAATAACTTAATTTATAAATAAATATTATATAATTTATAAGTAATTATTTATATTAATTCTTTAAATACTTTTATAATAAAATATTAAATTTACTTTAACTACTATTTATATTTTATTAATTATAATAATATTTAATAATTAATTTTAAAAGTATATTAAAAATAAAATTAATTTAAATAATTTATTAATAATAATAGACTATTTATTTAAAACTATATAATATATCTTTTATATAAATATTTATATTATAATATAAATAATTTATTTCTATTATAAAGGGCCTTTTATATATTTAGCCTTTTAAATCTATTATTTTTAATTATAGCCCTTAATTTATCTTATCCTTTATTAATAAACTTTATTATATTATAAATATTTAATAAAAGTTATTTATTATAGGCTATTTTAATTTTAAAAATAAATTAAAACCTTTTAATAAATTAATTAATATTTATATATATTTATAAATTATTATTAAAATAATTAAATTAAAATAGTATTAACTTTAAACTTTACTTAAACCTATTTATTATATAACTCTTTTAATAAACTTTTACCTTTTAAAATTTAAATAAAGTTTACTTTTAATCTTCCTTTTAATTAAAAATATTAAATATAATAATAAAATATTAATTTTATATAAAAATAACTATTATAAAATAAAACTTAATATATAGCTTATATTTTATAAAGTTATATTAATAAAATTTAAATAATAATATAATAAATTTAAAAATATATAATAAAATAAATAAATTAATACTATTATAAACTTAATTTTAATATTAATAACTATATTTTATTATTAAAAATATAAATAACTAACTATTTATATAATAAACTTAAATACTTTTTTATTTAATAATTCTACTATATTATAAATAATAATTCTTATTACTTTTAAATTTAAAATTCCTTTAATCTAATATAATTATAAAATATTTATACTTAACTAATTATAACTTAATTTATAAAACCCCTTTAAAGTAACTTCCTTTTAATTTAAAGATAAGGTTATTAATAAAAAAGAATAAAAATAAATAAAATCTTAATATTTAAAGTCTTATATAAAATATTACTTTATTAAATTTATTAAAAATTAAAACTTAAATTTAAAATAATACTTAATTAATAACTTTAAATATATACTAACTATATTAAAAATATACTATAATACTTATTCTAATAACATTAAACCTCTATATTAATTATAAAAGTAGCTATATACTTAACTATAAAAAAGGTTCTAAATTATAATAATAATAATAAGTTAATATAACTTAATTAATAATAATAATATATTAAATAAAATATAAAATAAATATATTTTAATTAAAATATTTATAATAAATAAAAATATTATTTTATAATATATAATATAAAAAATAAATAATATTATTAATTATAATATACTTTATAATTAAAATAATTATAACTTTAATATTAAAAGATATTAAGGGTAATATTATAATAAAATAATAATAAAATATAAATTACTTTATAAAATAAAAAGTTAATTATAAAATATTTATTTAAAATATTAATTATTTTATTTATTATATAATATAAAAATTATTATAACTTAAAGTTTTAAAGCTTTTAATATAATAATAAATCCAAAATTATTTTTATAAAAGTTTAAAAATATTATTTAAATAGTTACTAATAAAGTTATAAATTTAATTTTAACTAATAATATAATTAATTACCTTTTTAAAAAAAGGGGATTATTAAAACTATAAATTAAATATTTATAAGATTAATTAATAAATCTATATACTTTACTTATTTTATTAATCTAAATAGCCTTTATATCTTTTATAATATAAAATTATAGCTTTACTACCTCCTCTATATTATTCCTTAAGTAACTTTAGTTTTAAATTAATAATTCTTTATAGACAATTTAAGCCTTCTTTTGCCATAGGTCGTAAGGACTATCTTATCACTCCCTCTATAGCCTAATTAGATATTCACACAATACTACCAATCCCAATTTTCTTCAACAAGTCACCCATAATTGCCACCCTGGGCATCGGAATTTCTGCATAAACAGCACCAACGGCCCCGATAGTCGCCTCATGATACCGACGGATGTCGCCGAGCCGGGTCTCGGCTGCCGTTGGGAAGCACTTACCTAAAGCAGGCAAAGACCGAAAACAGGTAGTTACCTTTTGGGGTTCTTTTCTTCTTCTTCTTTTTTTTTTAAGGAGCATCAGGATATTGGAGTACCACTGTAGGGTGGTAAACAACAGTGAGCAGTCGTATCTGGAAATTTGGTCAAGACAGCACTGATAAGGGATTGATCCCGAGGACTGGTGATAATTTGCTTGTGTAAGATATATAAGCCAACTCTGTGCAGGGGCATTTGCGCCTATTCAGACGTGTGGCAATTCGTCTAGACACAATCTCTATACATTCCTGTCTTGATTTCTGCCTGGGTACCTGCAGCCTGATATCACACCACTTCCCGTCTGCCGACGTTCTCTTCAGCGACAACACCACATCCATAACCCCGGCAGCCATGTCTGCCCCCGAAAAGTTCACCGGGTTCCAGTCGCCCAGTGCCGAGAACTGGCTCGACTTTCAAAAGAGGTCGTGGGTGCCCCGGCCGTTCGGGGACCACGACGTGGATGTCAAGATTGAGTGCTGCGGCGTGTGCGCCACCGACGTGCACGTCGCACGGCAGGACTGGGGCGAGACGCCCTACCCGCTGGCCGTCGGCCACGAAATCGTCGGCAGGGTGGTGCGCGTGGGGGCCAAGGTGACGCTGGCGGGCGTCGGCCAGCGCGTGGGCATCGGCGCCCAGGTCTACTCGTGTGGTGACTGCAGGCACTGCAAGAACCACAACGAGACGTACTGCAAGGAGCAGGTCTGCACGTATGGCGCGCCGTACCCTGGCGTCGACCACTACACGACGCAGGGCGGGTACTCGTCTCACGCACGCGTCCATGAATACTGGTAAGACTAGACTAGACGTCTAGGGTGGATGACGGGAAGGTTCTTTGCTGACACTATGCCCTCGAGGGGCCCGCCAGGATCTTCCCCATCCCCGACAGCATACCCAGCAGCGACGCCGCTCCGATGATGTGTGCCGGCGCCACCGTATTCAGTCCCCTGAAACGCTTCGGCGCGGGCCCCGGGGCCAAGGTAGGCGTCATAGGCATCGGCGGGCTCGGCCACTATGCCATACAGTTCGCCAAGGCGCTCGGCGCCGAAGTCTGGGCCATCTCGCGGTCCCGCGCCAAGGAGGCCGACGCCAAAGACATGGGCGCCGACGGGTTCCTCGCCACAAGCGAGGAGGGCTGGAACGAGCCGCACAGGATGACCTTCAACCTGATCATCTGCACGGCGAGCTCGTTCCAGGACTTCCACATGTCCCAGTACCTGAGCCTCCTGGACGTTCACGGGCGTTTGAACCTGGTGGGCCTGCCCGCCGACACCGTCAAGGTGTCCACCTTCGATTTCATCGAGAACAGCTGCTTCCTGGGAGCCACCAACGTCGCCAGCCGGCGCGAGGTACTCGAAATGCTAGAAGTTGCGGCTGCCAAGGGCGTCAGGTCGTGGGTGAAGGAGATCCCCATATCCACTCAAGGCATTCAGAAAGCCATAGCGCAGATAGAGGATGGTAGCGTCCGCTACCGGTCGTGCCTGGTTGCATACGATGAAGCATTTGAAGGCTAATAGAGAATAGTTATAATTGAAACATTGCGCCGATGGCGTGCCATGCCCAAGTTACTATGTGCTTCACCGCCATAGGGATCGGCCACATGGATTTTCTGCCTTGCTCTAGCCAGCACCCACCTGTGAAGGTTGTTGATCTTCCAAATCTAACCGAAGCACAGCCGCATTCTTAAGGACTCGGGCTGGGAAGCGTGCTGCCTATCCACAATCTGACCCCACCACACATTTTCGAAACCCTTCGTCTCTTGTTCGGCCCATATCTCTTCGAGCAAGGGTATGACATCGCGGAACATGTGGTATCTAGTCCTATCGTTCCATTGGGAGCAAAGCTTTATGATCTCGGCCTGCGTGGATCGATCCCGGAGCTCGCAGCCCGCGAAAAAGAGCGGCAACAGGGCCTGCCTGGAGATCATGTTTACGTCTCGGCACCAAAGTGCGTGGTCCATGATGGCCCTTGCACGGTACAAGATGTGAATCGGGGCCTCGTTCCCAGGCTCCCACTGGAAGACCCTGAATATATAAAGAAGGAGGCCGTTTCTCCACGCCTCGGAGCAGTGCATGGTGTCCAAGTCCTGGTGCATGCCCTCCTCGTCGTTGAAGGCCGTCGCGGCGGGTACATGGCACCAGGACTCGAGGTACTGCTGGATTTCCGAGATAACTGCGGCATCACATGTGGAGCCTGACGCGCTCCATGCTTTCCTCCTATCCGCGGCGAGACGCGCCACCCGCATCACAATGATCACCAGGCTTGTCGGACACCCGCACAATCCGAAGAAGTTCCACTCTCGCTTGTGCTGATTGGAAAGGACGGTGTCAAAGTATTCGTAGGGGAACGCGCATTGCTCCCTGGACAAGAGGCTGACTATGGCATCCCACCTGCCAGCAGTAAGTAATGGCACGTTATTAAAAAGCATGGTGTAAAATGTCTAATTCGTACCAGGTGAGGATTCCGATCTGTGTTTCGAATCTAGAGGATAAAGGGAGCATCTTGATGCCACCGCAGGCTTCTAGTAGCCCGTATGCCCCCACGAGATGTGTGCTCCAGTTCCCGAGCATGGACTGGGTTTCCTAAGATCCACTGTCAGACAAGGCTCATCCTCTGAAAATGAGTTGTGTGGTATTACATCTAGCGAGAAGAGAATGACAATGGTGTCTAGAATGGAATGCATAGTCTCGGTGTCGCTGAACGTGTCGAGGGCCTGACGAAGCAGCTGGAGGGCTGTGTGACGATGGCTCAGGGTCGAGTCGCTTTTGACGTGGTGGCCGGCCAGCGCCATGACTGCGTGAACCAGAAAGACAGGTTCCGGGTCAAGATCTGTGCGGTATCGAAACGGGTTGATGCGTAGCCGGAAAGTCAACGGAATCGTGCAGAACTCTGCGTTGTCTACATGGAGTGTCAGTTTGGCCGTGCATGGGAACTTGGGCAAGAGGGAGCCAGTTGGAAAGTATTACATCTGGTGAGAATGGGCCTAAACCGTTCCGTAAGACTATTGAATTCCATGACGGGTGGTAGGGGCAAGTCACTGGGCCATGTGGTGCTGGCCACAGCCATCAGGGACGCGGCGTCGGAGCATGAAGCCCGGGTTAGAACCTCGGATTCACCAGCGACCACGGCACTGGGCGAATAGGAGGATTCAGTGGATTGAGTATCAATTTGGGAAGAGGTTGGCGAAGCTTCACTTGTACGGTTGACCACGTCCGGATCGGTAAAGCCTTGTGTGCTGGGAGAGGATTCATCTTCTAATATCTCGATCACGTCCAGGTCCGCGTCAATGGGAGGCTCCCGGTCCTGTCGGTCCACGGTGTAGCTGTTGAAATGTGCTTCACTCTCCATTGTTTCGAGTGATGTCACTTCACTATCCCGGCGAGGCGCATGGCCATCTCCCTCCAATGTTCCATCTTGGATATGCGGCTCGGGTTGCGACTGTGATGTTCGTGGTTGATTGGAAGGTCCCCTGTCCCATGACGAGTCGCTGGCACCTGAGTGCCGCGCTTCGTGCTTACGGGCCGCGCCGGGCGAGGAATATCTTGTGTGGCGGTTGAGTCTGTGTGGCTGCTCGATGACGAACTCAAACCCCTGCTGTGTATTTCTGCGTGGTGTGGGTCGCTTTGCTGGCTTCCTCGAAAGGGTAAAGCCCAGCTGCCAGGTCAGCTGCCTTCCTGACATATTAATGCTTGTTTGGGCGTCAGTTATCAAGTGGTCCGAGCTATCACGAGTCTGGATGATGTGGATGTGCAAGAAGCTGCGGTGGCAGGTTTTATGAAGGGTACTTTGATAGTTCCTGCGGGATTAGGAATTCTAGATTCCATCACCGTGATCGTCGATTTTGGCCTTGAGCCCCACCTCCCATGGAATATGTCGTAACCGAGATGAAATAAGTGCTGATGCAAGATCCTTGCATATGCACGTCTGTTGTCAGCACTCATGAAGGTCGTATCACCCAGACCCTTGTGGACAGACAAGCTCGGCTGGAGCGGTTCAGCAGTGGCAACAACATTCAAGCTTAAACAAGATGGAATTGTCATCCAGGAGCTGACTGCAACCTCCACCTACGATAAGAGATCGAGAATAGTTGTTTAGTTTCTATTACTTAACATTTATCACCTTATTAATAAATATAAGATCTTTACTAAGAGATTACTATTTGTTTTATAAATAAATAAATAAATGAAAGTATATATATAAAGTATTTAATAAAAGTATTTTACTTTAATTTAATAAAAAGTTTTTTATTTTTAAGTTGATATTTTAAAATAATATAAGATAAATAATGTTTGCTAATAATTATAAAGGTTAGGAAGTTAATAATAATAGTAGTACTAGAGGGGGTAAGAAGAAGTACTATAAGTGAGGGACAGGTGGCGAGACTAAGGGATGGTACGATGTGGGCTAAGCATTTAGCCACGACTAGGAAAGAATGCCGGTTCAAAAGTCTCTTGAAACAAGCCTTTGTGCTTCGTGCCGAGAACTGATTTCGTTCCCTCCACACCTGGGCAGCTTTAGAACAAATCTAAGTTGTCGCCCTTATGAATGGTCATGATTGTGTGGTGACGAGTGAACTTCAGGATGACATCTCTTGAGAAAGAAAGTCAGGCAGTAAATAAAACCGAGGCGGGTGAACAACTCCTGCCCCATAGGGCTGGCTGCCTGCTGCCTGCTGGCGCTCTGTGCGCTGCGGCTGCAGGTAAGGCAGAAAAGGGTCCTTTTGCTGCCAAGGTATTTTACCGGCGGCGGTAAATCCGAGGCTACTAGTACATGCGTACCATGGTACAACTTTTGGCTCTAGGACAGCCTAACCTATGTATGTTCGCAACTTACCTCGGTACCTACCTGGTGATTTGAGTAGTTCTTACAGCTCCTTGTATCGTCATGCCCACAATGATCCTTCAAAATAATTCACCGCTCTCTGTCCTGGGGCCAGACCTGGCCCCCACCGCCCGAGATACAAAATGGCCTAGACTTGCCGTCTCGAGATTTGGAAACGGTCAGCATCTGGTAACATCGTGAATAATCCACATGTTAAGAGCTTCCCAAACTGGCAATGATACTTGTAAGGGTGATGCGCCCGAAGTGGCGCAACACTCGAACAGGCAGGAATTCTTGAATCCTGGACGTCATCTGCCAGGGGACACGAACAGTAAGGATCGTGAGAGCCCCGAGAGATGGGTTGTGACCGAGTGGCTCTGAGAGGTTTAGCGATGTCTCAAGCCCTCCAAACAGCTCGCTTCCAGTGCGAATTCTGATAAATGGTGGCATGCTGCCGCGTATCCGCGGTGCTATGCATAAGGGAAAAGATAAAATATAAGTGATGCCAAACGCATCACAGCCACAAATCTGATCCGTGTGATTTATCGATTCATTTATGACCCCAACAATGGACCAACAGATGTCAACATCAGACCGACACGTCCTGATCGAGCAGTTCAACGCAACCGACAACGCCGCAACGCTCGGCTTCTGCCTGCCCCAGCTCTTCGAGGCCGCGGCAGCGCGGTACCCAGCGCACCCGGCCGTGATCACCGCAGACACAGAATATGACTACCAGACCGTCAACGCGCAGGCCAACCGTCTGGCTCACATACTCATACATGAGTGGAGCATAGGGCGCGGGGATGTCGTCGGGGTGGCGCTGGACCGCTCCGCGGACGTCGTCGTGGCCGCGCTGGCGGTCAAAAAGGCGGGCGCCGCCTACCTGCCCATCGATCCCGCCTTCCCGGCCGGGCGCATCGCCCACACCGTCGAGGACGCCAGGCCGAAGCTTATACTCGTCAGCGACGGGACTCGGGCGGCGCTGGCGCCGGCAGGGTGTGGGTGCCTCAGCCTGGACGAGCTGCGCAGCACTGGCAGCATGGACAGGCCATTAGATGCCGGGGACCCGAGCAACAACACGCGGACCGTACGGCCTGACGACCTCGCATATGTCATCTACACGTCCGGCTCGACGGGCCGGCCCAAGGGCGTAGAGGCGAGCCACGGGGCGCTGTGCAACCTGCTGCTGTCGATGCAGCAGGAGCCCGGCTGCGGCGCGCGGGACCGCCTGCTCGCCGTCGCGCCCATCGCCTTCGACATGTCCATCTTCGACCTCTTCCTGCCGCTCGTGAGCGGCGCCGCCGTCATCCTGGCCCGGGCGGCGGAGCTGCGGGACACGGGCGCGCTGCTCGGGCTGATGCGGCGCCACGGGGCGACCATGGTGCAGGCGACGCCCTCCTTCTTCCAGATGCTGCTCAACGGGGGCTGGGAGGGGGAGCCGCGCCTCGCCAAGGTCCTCACGGCCGGGGAGCCGGTGCCCCGCAGGCTGCTCGACGCCCTGCTCGACCGCGCGGACGGCGTGTGGGAGGGCTACGGCCCGACCGAGGCGACCGTCTACTCGAGCGTGGGCCGCGTGACCCGGGCCGACAGGGACAGCGTCATCGGCCATCCCATCGCAAACTTCCGGCTGTACGTCCTCCGGCCCGAGGACCTGTCGCCCGTGCCGCCGGGCGCCATCGGCGAGCTGTATATCGGCGGCGTCGGCGTGGACTGCGGGTACCGCAACAACCCCGGGCTCACAAGCCAGAGGTTCCTGCGGCACAACCCCTTCCACCCGGGGCGCCTGTACCGGTCTGGCGACCTGGCCCGGTTCATCGCGCCGGGGAAGCTGAGCCTGGTGGGCCGCACCGACAGCCAGGTCAAGGTGCGAGGCTACCGCATCGAGCTCGGGGACGTGACCACCACCATAGCACAGCACGACCTCGTCTCAGAGGCCGTTGTCCTCGTGCGCGACGAGCAGCTCGTCGCCTACTATGTCTGCAAGAGGAACCGCCAGGGCGAAACCGACGGCAGTCCCTCGGCGCCGCTCGACGGCGTCCTGCGTTCGTGGCTGGCCGGGCACCTGCCTGCGTATATGATTCCAGCATATTATGTCCAGATGCTCGCCTTTCCCATGACACTGAACGGCAAGATCGACAAGACAGCCCTTCCAGACCCGTACACCGTAGCCACACCCTCAACACCCCTGCCCCGGAGCTCGGCCGATGAGCCCCAGCTGGAGACCACGCTGGAGGGCCAGGTCCGAGATGCCTGGGCACACACCCTCGGGCATGAGAACTTCAGCACCCACAGCAGCTTCTTCGACGTGGGCGGCGACTCGGTGCGCATCCCTCGCCTGCAGAAATACCTGCAAAGCACGTTAGGCCGGCCCATTCCCATGCCCGCACTGTTTGAGCACTTCACCATCAAGTCTTTGGCGACATTTCTGGAGACCACCAAGGTCAACGGTGCCACGGCCAACGGAACCAAGCCACAGCAAGAGGAAGAGCACCAGGAGCCCCTACGACAACCCAGCGACAGCAACAGAGACGAACAAGACATAGCAGTCATCTCAATGGCATGCCGGCTCCCCGGCGGCATCTCCACCCCGGACGAGTACTGGGCCCTCCTGCAGGCCGGGCGCGACGCCGTCGGCGACGTCCCCAAGGACCGCTGGGACGCCGACGCCCTGTACGACGCAGACCCAGACGCCCCCGGGCGGTCGACCTGCCGCCGGGGCGGCTTCCTGTCCGGCGGCGACGTGGGCGCCTTCGACGCGGCCTTGTTCGGCATCTCGCCGCGCGAGGCCCGCACGCTGGACCCGGCGCAGGCCCTGATGCTCGAGACGAGCTGGGAGGCCCTCGAGCGCGCGGGGTACACACAGGCGGAGCTGCGCGGGAGCGGCACGGGCGTGTTTGTCGGCCAGAACCCCGTCGGCGCGCACGCCCCCGCCGGCGGCCGGGACCTGGCCGACCTGGACGGCTACGCCGTCACGGGCTCGGCGGGCGCGGCGCTGTCCGGCCGCGTCTCGTACGCGCTTGGGCTGGAAGGCCCCGCCATGACGGTCGACACGGCATGCTCGTCGTCCCTCGTCGCGGCGCACCTGGCGTGCGCGGCGCTGCGGCGCGGCGAGTGCGGCATGGCCGTCGCCGGGGGCGTGACCGTCCTCCCCGGGCCGGGCCTGCACGTCGAGTTCAGCCGGCTGCGCGGGATCTCGGCCGACGGGCTGTGCCGGGCCTTTGACGCCGACACGGGCGGCACGGGCTTCGGCGAGGGCGCCGCCGTCGTCGTGCTCAAGACGCTGGCCGCCGCGCGCCGCGCCGGGGACCGCGTCCTCGCCCTGCTGCGCGGCAGCGCCGTCAACCACTGCGGGCGCGGCGCCGCCAGCCTCACCACGCCCAGTGCCTCCGCGCAGGAGCGCCTCCTCCGCTCCGGCCTTGCCGTCTCCGGGCTGCGGCCCGGTGATATCGACTATGTCGAGGCCCACGGCACGGCCACGAAGCTGGGCGATCCCATCGAGGGCGCGGCGCTGGCGAGTGTCTTTG